ATTGTTGCTCTCAGTGTCTGTGCTACTGGTATTGTATTTAGGAAGTGATCTCCTGTGCCACTGCACTCAAGAGTACTTCCTACTTTCTCTTCTATCAAGTTTAGTGTAACTGGATTTATGTTGAGGTCTTTGATCCACTTGGACTTGAGTTTTGTGCATGGTGACAGATATGGATTTATTTGCAATCTTTTACATGTTGACATCCAGTTATGCCAACACCATTTGTTGAAGATACTTTCTTTTTTCCATTGTATAGTTTCAGCTTCTTTGTCAAAAATCAGGTGTCCATATGTGTGTGGATTAATGTTAGGGTCTTCAATTTTATTCCATTGGTCTGTATGGTGACCACATTTTTTTTTTTTTTTAATGTTTCCCTTCTGTAAAACTACTCGTGATTTTACCCCTTAGAAGGGGCCCAAGAGATGGATTTGGGGATGCTCCTTTTAACCCAATGTAGGAGGCAGTTGCTGGTCAGCTCTTGGGTGCACCCCAATGAAAAAGATCAAGCTTGCTTCAAATTTGGCTCAAATTGTAGTAGGGGTCTTATTCTCCAAGTTGGGGTTAACACTGGTTGTCCTAAAACTCACTATGTAGACCAAGCTGGTCTTGAACTCACAGAGATCCACCTGCCTCTGCCTCCCTCTGCCTCTGCTGGGATTAAAGGTGTGTGCCACCACAGCCAGGTCTGAGGGGCAAATTTTACAGTATGGATTGTCTCTCTTCGGGACCTGAGACTGTGTAGTCGGATGTTTCTTGGGTCCCACCAAGCCCCCGCATCCCATCGCCCACTTATAGAATAATCATTCAGAGGCTTAATATTATTTATAACTGCTCGGCCATTAGCTCAGGCTTATTACTGACTACCTCTTACACTTAAATCAACCCATAATTCTTATCTATGTTTAGCCACGTGGCTTGGTACCTTTTCTCAGTTCTGCCTTGTCATCTTGCTTCCTCTGTGTCTGGTTGGCAACTCCTGACTCAGCCTTCCTCTTCCCAGAATTCTCCTCATCTGCTTACCCTGCCTATACTTCCTGCCTAGCTACTGGCGAATCAGTGTTTTATTTATCAACCAATCAGAGCAACACATATTTATAGCATATAGAACGATATTCCACAGCAGGGCTGTCTATGCAATGTAACATGAATAACTAGGGGTGAAACTCTTGACTATCTGAGCCTGCTCCTTAAAGGGCAGAATCCTCTATAATCAAGATACCTCAAGATAGATTGTAGAGTCGGGTGTGGTGGTATAAACCCGGAATCCCAGCACTCTGGAGGCAGAGGCGGGAGGATCATCCTTGGCTACCTCTAGAAGTTCAAGGTCAGCCTGGGATATGTAGACAGTTCCCTAGGACAAGCTGGCTGGTGCTTTTTCTCCCTTGCTCTAGAGTTAGGTCTTAATTTGTGTCTCCCTTACTCTACTCAATTGCCCAGGCTGGCCTTCTTACTTGGGTCTTGCTAAATTGCCCAGGCTGGCCCTTCTTACTTGGGTCTTGCTAAATTGCCCAGGCTGGCCCTTCTTATTTGGGTCTTGCTAAATTGCCCAGGCTGGCCCTTCTTACTTGGGTCTTGCTAAATTGCCCAGGCTGGCCCTTTTACTTGCTTTGTAGCCCAAGCTGATGTTCAACTTGTGCTCAGCCTCTCCAGTGCTGAGATGAAAGGCCTGTGCCACCAAACTTGGTTTTCTTTTCTTTCTCCCTCTTTTTTTTTTTTTTTTTTTTTTTTTTTGGTTTTTCGAGACAGGGTTTCTCTGTGTAGCTTTGCGCCTTTTCCTGGAACTCACTTGGTAGCCCAGGCTGGGCTCGAACTCACAGAGATCCGCCTGGCTCTGCCTCCCGAGTGCTGGGATTAAAGGCGTGCGCCACCACCGCCCGGCTCTCCCTCTTTTTTAAAAAATTTATTTCTGGGGGGGAGGGGCAGAGGAGTATCAGATCTCCTGGAGCTGTAGTTACAGGCAGTTGTGAGCTGCCTGATGTAGGGGCTGGGAATCTGAATGCAGGTCCTCTGCAAGAACAGGATGTGCTCTCAACCACTGAGCCATTTCTATGACCAAGCTTAGTTTTCAATAATTACTTTTAAAAGCATGCAATTCAGAATATAAACATATAAACTCACAAAACTCTTGAAATCTATTTAAATTGCTGTTTTTTGGGTTTTTTTGTTTTGTTTTTGTTTTTTTCCGGAGACAGGGTTTCTCTATGTCATTTTGGTGCCTGTCCTGGAACTCACTCTGTAGACCAAGCTGGCCTCGAACTCACAAAGATCCACCTGGCTCTGCCTCCCGAGTGCTGGGATTAAAAAGTCGTGTGCCACCGCCACCTGGCCTTTTTTTTTTTTTTTAAAGAATTTATTTATTACATATACAGTGTTCTCCCTGCAGAAGAGGGCACCAGACCTCATTACAGACAGTTGTGAGCCACCATGTGGTTGCTGGGAATTGAACTCAGGACCTCTGGAAGAGCCAGTACTCTTAACCTCTGAGCCTTCTCTCCAGCCCCAGATTGCTGTTTTGGTGCTTATTTGCACTTGCTATTTTTAGGTTTTTGTTGTTTTTAAGACAGGGTCTCAGCTGTGGTGGCACACACCTTTAAAGCCAGCACTTGGGAGGCAGAGGCAGGCAAATCTCTGTGACTGTGAGGCCAGTCTGGTCTACAGAGTGAGTTCCAGGACAGCCAGGTCTGCTGTTACACAAAGAAACCTTGTCTCAAAAAAGAAAAAAAAAAAAAAAAAAAGACAGGGTCTCCGGCTGGAGAGACAGTTAAGAGCACTGGCTGCTCTTCCAGAGGATCCAGGTTCAGTTCCCAGAAACCACATGGTGGCTCACAACTGTCTGTGATTCCAGTTCTAGGGGACCCAACACCCTCACACAGTCATATTTGCAGGCAGAACACCAATGTAGCCTAGGCTGGCCTCACAATATTGTTAAGGATGTGATAAACACCTGCTTCCTCAGTTCAGGTCCCAAAGAGGATGTGTGGAGTCTGTGAGGAGAAAGGAGACAGACACGATCCGAGGGTGAATGGAGATGGCTGCCCTCGAGTTTATTGAAAAAAAGAATACACCTTTTAAATGTTATACTTGCACGGAGGCCTATGGCAGAAAGGAGGCATGTGAGCTGGGGTGTGGCTTGAGATCAGGGATTGAGGAAGCTAGCATGGGCCTTGACAAGTTAATAGGCTCCAGTCATGTGTTGATGGAAGGGCCACGAGTTCCTCTTGCTGGACATAGGAATTTGTCTCCCTTTTTAGCAAGCAGGAACTTTCTTCAAGCCCCTGAGGAAATGGGGACTTGCCTAAACGCCTGACTTTGGGAAAAGGACTTTCTTGGGGGAACCTGACACTCTACTATAGAATATTGTAGTTTCGTGTATGGCTTAGTTATCCAATTAACTAAAGCTTAAAAGTGAGCAAAGAGGAGGCTAGACAAATATTATCATGAACCTGAGTATACCTTGGGAGTTTATAAATCTTGATTTTCAAATATCAAGCATATGCTACTTATCTAAATATTCTAGCAGCTTGGCGTTAACTTGTGTGGGAGTAGGCAGTTATCACCCTATATGATTCCAAGGTGGAAGGGATTTTTTTTTCCAAAGAATTATTTAGTTTAGAAAACCTACCATTGTACACATTTTCATCCTTCGCCAAAGCCAGCACCAAATTTCCCAAAGGGAAAGGCATAACAGTGAGAATCACTGAAAATGAAAGTCAAGAGTGCTGGAGAACTGTGATTTGTGTCTGCAAAGTTGACATCTGCAACTTTGTCAAGCAGCAATGGTCGCCGTGTGGCCCATGCCAAGGACAGTTGCTAGTGGCAGGCCAGTCTCCCCCACTGCCAGTCTCTAGACAGTGTCTCAGTTGTTTTATTGAGCATCTATTGTATCCTGGGGACACAGTGGTGTAGAGACAGATGCTCTTTGCCCAGTTTTCTGATGGGGGTTTGGAAGTGGGAGTAGCTGTATCCTCAGAGCAAGCCTCCAACTAGAGGACTCAAGGTTAGGTAGACTGCGTGGTCTGTGCCTGAGTAGAGACCACACTTTCTGTCAGACAGGCATTCCCGCAGCAAAGCACATCTCCCCATGAAGAGGTGTCACCCTACTGGATAAATAGATGAGGGCGGTTCGGGAAGGACTGTCATTTCCTTTTCTCTTGCCCACGCAGCTTCAGTTCAAGCCTGTACCTGAGGTCATGTGCCATGTGGAGGCCCCAGATCTTCAGACTTGGAAAGGTGCCTTCCGGTCCTGGGAAAGTAGCAGAGAGCCAGGTCCCAGGATGGGACGGGGCTAGACACCCAGCTGCAGCCAGCAGTCGGCTGGGAGCACCGCATGCCTTGCCTGGCTCTGTGCCAGGACCCGCTCTCTGCAGCTGCGGGCAGAGAAGCTAAAGGAGCACTCTGAGGTGGCTGCCCTCTCGTCTGTCTGTCAGGTGGCCCCTGGCTTTCTGGACCTAAAATAACATATGTGAACAAGCTGGGGCTAACAGGAAAGGGAGCTAGTTCTCTGTCCCCAAGTCACCCAAAGTGGTGGCCCGCAGGAAGGAGGAACGAGGTGAGCTGCAAGCCACTTTTCTCCGTCATTCCGCATTTGTCACTTGTGTGTCCCCTCTCCTCCTGTCCTCCTCCTCCACCCACGCTTCCAGTCACCACCTTCTCCAGGAAAGCACCGGTCTGCCCCTCTTCTCCACCTCCAAGGTGACCTTCGCTGAGCTCTGACTCTACAAGACACCTGACCACATGCCTCGCTTGGGGCTCACCACCTCACCCTAGGCAACCCCGGCGAGCACGCAGAGAAGCACGGTCAGGCCAAGCCTCTGGGACCGTCCAACCAAGCCCCACCTAGTTATCTGCCTCGCAGGGAGCCACTGATGGGTAGGGCCCACCAGGGTAGGGCCCATCTATAAGAGGACATGGATGCTGGACATGGGTCCCCCACCAGTCTGGACTTACCCTAGGTCCCTGCCCAGACCCCAAGCACCATGGGAGGGAGCAGCAGAAACAGGTCCAGCTGAAAGGTATCATTTACTAGGTTGTAGCCAGTCAGAGGGACAACCCTGGGTCCCCTGGATATGATGTAGCCTGGGGTACACAGGCAGACTGAGGTAGGTGGATGGGAGGTGGCCACACCATCTTCTGGGGCCTCTGCTATGGGTCCCCTGCAGGCTCCTCGAGCAGCTGTCATACCTGAGAGGTATGTCCCGGCACAGCATGATCCAACTGCAGACCTGTCTAAAGGCCAGGCATGGAGGGGAGGCAACCAGGCCCAGAGTTCCAGGCCTCCCTCAGGCCGCCTCCTAGGCCCAGTCCAGGGGCAGCAGCATCACTGCCCACACTTCGCTCTTCCTGGGATGGCAGCTGAAGTTCCCGTCATCTAGGGCACAGGTCAACTTGGGAGGAGAGGCTCTTGCTCTGAGGTGGCAGTAGTGGTGTGGCTCCTGTACACCAGGAACTGGACCGAGATCTGAGGACCGCGTTAAGACCACAGCAGACACCCTGGGCTGGCGCTGTTCCCACCACTCTTCCCTGTTCTGCAGGTGACAGAGGCCCCAGGACCTCCTAGCCTTGCTCTTGCTCTCACACCGCCCCGAGTGCCACCCCCGGTCCCCCAGCTCAGCCATCAGGAACCCTGGAATAAGACCGTCTTCCTCTCTACGACACTAAGAGGCTGGGCCATTTGGGGCCTTTCTCTCTCACTACACCCCATGGGGATGTAGCAAATGTTGAAACAAGGGCCATGTTTACTTTCTGTCAAGTGGGACCCAAATAATACCTACTTGGCAACATTGACAAAGCACTCACAGAGTGCTGGGTGGGCCACAGGGGAGGACGCTCAGACACTGATGCCATCAGCTGTTACCCGGCGAGCCAGCGACTACTAACTCAGACGAAAGGAGAGAAACACTGGGGACTGATGCTTTCTGCTGTGTCCCTCAGAGAGGAGGCAGTGGAGGTCGGGAGCCGAGCCCACTCACGCTTGCCTTCACGCTCTAGCTCTCGTTTCCAATGCAGGGGTGCACTGACTTTTCTATTCCTCGGGGCCTTTGCACAGGCTGCAGCCGGACTCGGCTCCCTTGCTTTTCCCTGAATAACTTCTCCCCCAGTCCAGGTGAGATGACACCTGCTGAGGCCTCTGTTTACCCCGAACCAGGGCAGTCCAGTGGTGATACGCTCCTGCCGTCTTTCCCTGCAGCACTTGGTACCACTGAAGCGAAGTAACTACCTAAAAAACCTGGTGCTTCTGTCCTTGCTCACGGATGGTGCTGGTCCTGGCTAGGTGCCTGGCACACAAAAGAGGTGCATACTCTTGATGAACGGATGGACTGATGGATACAGATGGACGGATGGGGGTGGGTGAGTAGATGGATGGATGGATGGATGAATAAATGGAAAGTTGAATGAATGAGTGGGTGGTTGAGTAGATAGATGGATAGGGGGTTGGATGGATAGATAAATGGACAGATGGATGGATGGGTGGGTGAGTGGGTGGATGGATGAGGCTGGAAGGGTAAACAGGATGAATGCAAGGTTGAACTGTAGATGGGAAGATAGGTAGATGAATGGATGTGTGGATGAATACATGAATGGATGGGTGGATGGATAGACAGGTGGAGGGGTGAGTATGTGGATGGGTTGTGGGTGGGTGAATGGATAGATGATGAATAGGATGATGTTGGATATGGGCAAATGGAAGATGGATAAAAGGCTGGATTGTAGATGAATGGATATGTGGATGAATACGTAAATGGATGGGTGGACAGATGTGTAGAAAGAGGGGTGGACAGACAGGGATGTGCATGCCGAAGCAGAGGCTGCCTTGCCCACATGACTTTGCCAACAGTACACACCTTAAAGGATACAACGGTGTCGAGCAGCAGCACACCCAGGCTGCCCACGAGCCAGGGCAGGTGGTGCAGCAGGTAGCTGCCCTCGCTCTGGCCTGCCTCAGGGTTCTTGAACAGCACGCTCAGCCCGTACAGCATGTTCCCCAGCATCACCAATGCAAACAGTGAATAGGAAACGCCCTGGGTCGACTGCCGTAGGAACTGGGAGAAAAGGAGGTGATGTCAGAGACCTCAGAGGGTTCTTGTCTACAACAGCAGCACTTGGGAGGCTAAGGCAGGAGGATCATGAGTTCAAGGCCAGGCTTACACTATATAGCCAGTGAGGGGTCAGTCTGTCCCCTAAACCAGAGAGGGCTCTTATCACTCTGGATTGTAACCGTCCGTGTGTGTACCCTGGGTGGTACATACTCTGAGCTGGTTTTTCATCGTGTGCCCAAGGCCCAGCATGGACTTGGCACCCAAAACAGCCCTATCCAGGGCTCAACTCCAAGCACTTCTCCCAGGACCCCAGACACCATGGCTGCCTATGCCTGCTGGCCACCGGCTCTGAAGCCCACAGGGACTCTTCCTGCCGGGCAAGCCTCCAGTGGGGGTCCTCATCATCTCCTGTCCACTCTCTGGCTTCTCAGCTCAGCAACTCCCTCACACCTGACCTCCAATGTTGCTGAGACACAGTCTCATGTACCCCTCCACAGCAAGTGTCATGGGGCCAATTTCCCAGAGGCAGAAAGAGGCTCAGTCAGCTGGGAGACTTTGCCCACATCAACAGCTGCTGTGGTTAAGATCTTCTGAACAAAAACATTGCTCAACCTGCCAGCCCTCCTTCCATGTGACCCACACCCCTACCGAAAGCTCACATTGGTGCGGATCTGAGGCAGCCTTGAGAGCAGGTACAGCACGCTGGAGATGGAGCCAATGACAAAGCCGATGACCTCCTTCTTTGTGAACGGCTGGGGGGCGGAGAGGCGGAAGCGGGCATTCACTATCTGGTGGGAGTTTTAGGGAGCAGTCTCCCCAAGAGGGAGAGTAGCCCCCACAATTTAATAGCTACATGATCATGCAGGGGAATGAGAGTCAGCCCACCCATGTTACCATCCCCTACCTTATTGCCAGACTCCACAGACAAGAGCATCCGTCCCCGGAAGCCTGCCCTGGGGAGAGCCACAGGATCAGCGATGCTTAACAGTGGTGTGATACACACCGTCCCCAAGATGAACAAGAGCACAGAATTGATAGGGGTAGACACTGGATTGAGGCAGGAGAGAAGCCACGGTTAGGTATCTAGGTGACAGCAGACAGCCTGGGATGGGAGTCCCAGCCTTGCTTCTCAGTAGCTGTGTGACCTTGGACAAGTGACCTAGCCTCTCTGTGCTTCAGTCCTTCATCTGTAGAATGGGGATACAACAGTACCCTTCCCCTAGGGATACAAAGGAAAGCCAGCCAGGGCAGAGGGGTCAGCACTCTACCCTAGAGGCTGCTCTATGACTCACCCTCCTTTCTGGCTCTGAACCAGAGAGAGGAGAGAGCAAGTGGGATCTCCCTGCAGCTTCATCTATATGTGTCTCCATCTCAGCCTGCTTCAACTCAGGTCCCAGACCGTCCAAGGCCAGCAGAGCCCGACCCAGAGTGACCCCTGGACTCACATGGAGAAGGCCGGTTCTTGAACTTGTAATGGAAGTACAGGGTCAGCATCACGAGGTCAGCCAAGACGTAATACACAGCCGTGTAGGTCTGTGAAAGAGAGGCAGACCCGAGTAATGGCTGCTGTCCTGGGCCGATGCAACCACCCCGGCAAGCCCTCCACTGCACCCCAGCTGGTGACCAGCTCTGGTCAGAAGGCTCCCTCTTCCTACCTAGGCAAATGAGGGGTCAGGTGGACAAGGGATCCTGCAAGACTCCAGCCTGGACAGTCAACAAAGCATCGAGTGCCAAGAGTTGAGACAAACAGTCAAGGCCTTCCCGACTGACCCTGGTTCTGCTGGCCATGGAATGTCAGTGGTTCCCAAGGAAAGCCCCATTTGCTACTTTGAGGGCCCCATGCTCAAAATTTTTAGTTGGGCCCCCAACCCCTCAGAACCACAGACTGTGGTGTGGTGTGCTTACATGGCAAACGGGGAAAACTGAGACCTGAACAGAAACCCTGACTCACCCATGGTTATACACAGCATGGTGGCCATGGAGTGGCCGACAGACATGAAGCCCCGGCCTCTCCTCCCACAGCTGCTCCCACTTGTCCTCAGCTGCCCTGCTGTGCCTGGGACCCACGCACCCGGGACCCACGCACCTGCAGGGGTAGCTGGTCTGCAAGGAAGGAGCCGATGAGGTTGCAGGAGTCTCCGCCGATCCAGCCCAGGAGGAACCAAAAGGACAGGGCCTGGTCCATGTTCCCTGTCTTGCAGGCCTTGATGTACTGGCTGAGGAACAGGAGGGGACGCGTGCTCAGAGGCCGAGGCCTAAGAAGCCACTTTAAAGGGCCAGTAAGAAGACCTTAACAGTAGGGCTTGGGCAGTGATGGGCAAGAGATGGCCCAGGGGCTTAGGTTGGAACCCAGAACTTCAAAGGCAATATCCTCAGAGCATTTATTTGATCTGTGGAGGAATTTTACCAGTGGGAACCCTTACCAGCCCAGGAGCACAGCAGCTGTGTATCTTTCTAGACAGGCCCGCAACCTTATTCAGTCTCCCCCACTGCACCCTGGCATCTCCAGAAGGGACCAAGGGTCTGTACAAGTTTCCGAAGCAGGTGCCCAGCCTTGAGAAACACCTTGGCTTATTTTTAAAACCTGGTTGGTGGGATTGAAAGCATGGGTAGGGCAGCTGAGGTGGGTCTGAGGCCCGGCCCGGCCCGGCCTCTTTTAGGAGTCATTGATGGTAAGACACGCAGACCTTCAGCCTGGTCACTGTAAGGGCACCGCAGAGAAGGAAGGGTGGCCAGATTCTGGTGGCTGTTTCACGGGCTTTGGTCCCTTGGCTGTCTGCCCTAAGGCCCTTCATGCTGTGGCTGGGTTGGGTGTGAAGCCAAATGTAATGTAAGTCGCTGCTGCTAAGGGGTCTGGCCACGGACCTAAGCCCCCTGTGGCAGTGACCCCTTGAGTCCCAACACAAGGACAGTCAGGTCGATGAGGACACCGCACACTGGGGACCGAGATGGCTGTGTTACTCCTAGGATTCACCCTGGCCAGAGCCTCTTGACACAGCTCCGTTGCTGCTGTCACTACTTGTTTGTGGCAGGCCTCAGACAGTCCAGGCTGGCCTCAGACCCTCTGTGTAGGCCTCCACTCCTGGGCCTCAGACAGTCCAGGCTGGCCTCAGACCCTCTGTGTAGGCCTCCACTCCTGGGCCTCAGACAGTCCAGGCTGGCCTCAGACCCTCTGTATAGGCCTCCACTCCTGGGGCTCCAATCCTGCTCTTGACTGTTACACATGGTGGTTCACAACTGCCTGTCACTCCAGTTCCAAGAAATCAGACACCTTCTTCTAGCCTCTGAGAGTACTGCACACGTGATGCACAGACATGCATGCAGGCTAAACACCCATACATACAAAAGAAGAAGAAGAAAATTAAAAACTAATTAAAAAAGAAAGAAAGAAAGAAACTCAAGAGCCAGGTGCAATGGCACACGCCTTTAATCCCAGCACTCAGGAGGCAGAGAAAGGTGGATTCCTATGAGTTCGAGGACAGCCTGGTCTACACAGTGAGTTTCAGGCTGCTGGAGATAGTGAGCCTCTGTCTCAAAATTAATTAGTTAGTTGATTAATTAATAATAAATAGCCAGGCAGTGGTGGCTCATGTCTTCAATCCCAGCACTTGGGAGGCAGAGGCAGGCAGCTCTCTCAGAGTTTGAGGCCAGTCTGGGTCTATAGAGCAAGTTCCAGGACAGCCAGGGCTACGGAGAAAGACCCTGTCTCGAAAAACAAAACAAAACAAGATAATAATAACAATAATAATAATAATGAAAAATTTTAAAAAGAAATTCATGAGAATAGAGAGACAGCTCTACAATTGAGAGTGCCTGCTGCTCTTGCAGAAGGCCCAGATTCAGTTCCCAGCACCCACATGGAGGCTCCCAACTATCTGTAAACTACAGTCCCAGAGGATCCAGATACCGACTTTGGGTACCAGGTACCAAGCACACATGTGGTGCACTTAAATACATACAAGTAAAATAACCAAACACATAAAATAATTTTTTTAGAGAAAATGAAAAGAGACTCAGGAGTGGATGCTACATGTGTAATCCCAGCAATTTAGAGATGGAGGCGGGAGTATCAGGAGTTCAGGGTTACAGGGTCTCCCTAGATAGCCCAGGTTGGCCTTGAACTCATGATCCTCCAGTCTCAGCCTTGCAGGGACTGGAAAGGGGATAGGGTATTACAGGATACATGCTATGCATATGGAGGTCAGAAGACAACCTCTGGTATTAGTCCAGACCTTCCACCTCGTTTGAGGCAGGGTATCTTGTTCACAGCTGTATATGCCAGGCCAGCTGGCCCACAAGCTTCCAAAGATTTTCCCGTTTCTGCTTTCTACTTCACTGGGAGCATTGGGATCACACACATACACCACCGTATCCACCTTTACGTGGGTTCTGGGGATTCGAACTAAGATCCTCATGATGAAGTAGCAAGCAATTTACACTGAGCGATCTTCCCCAGCCGACAAGCATACATTTTTTTTAAGATTTATTTTTAGTGTGTAAGTGTTTTGCTGGCATGAATGTATGTGCACCATGTGTGTCCCTGGCGGAGGCCAGAAGAGGGCGACAGATCTCCTGAAACTGGAGTTAGAGGCAGTAATCATATGGGTGTTGGGAATCAAACCCAGGTCTTCTGCAAGAGCAGTGAATGCTCTTAACCACTGAGCCATCTCCCGAGCCCAAGAGCAAATTTTTTTGTTTTTTGAGACAGGGTTTCTCTGTGTACCCCTGGCTATCCTGGAACTCTATAGACCAGGCTGGCCTTGAACTCACAGAGATCCACCTACCTCTGCCTCCCGAGTGCTGGGATTAAAAGTGTATGCCACCACACCCAGCCCAAGAGCACAACAGCCTTGGACGATAGAACTCTCAGTGAATTTCTGATTTCACTTCTGCCTGCCTCACCCTCTCACGATGACCAGCCAGGCATGACGGTAGCTGTTCCTTCTCTCACACACCTGCTGTTCCTGGCCAGCTGCTTCCTGCCTGCTAGTAGCTCATACCCCCAAGTTCTTCCTGCCTCTGCCGAGTGGCCAGGGGCTCTCTTTCATGCTTCACGTAACTGGACACTGGCACTATGCCAGCTCTCCAGCTTGTGCACATACTGGGTAAATGAGATCTAAGGCCCAGAGCAAGGCAATGTGACCCGGGTCACAGCCAGGAGGTGGCAGAGCTGAGTGTGGACACTCTGGACCCCTGTGCAGTAATGTCCTTGTCCCCCAGCCCAACAACAGCCACACGATTTTGTAGTTCCCGCTTCCGTCTTCACCATCAGCCTGTCTTCACTTGAAGGACACAGCCATGTCTAGTGCATCCCAGCCCGCCCATTCTCCAACCCCATCTCTTTCCAACAACAAACAGCACATTACCTAGCCCTCATCTTGTCTGGAAAACAGGGAAAGGAACTCTGCCTATTTCACGGGGCTGTTAATGAGGACCAAAGGAGGTAAACCCCACCAGCACTTAGACACGGGCCAAGAACACAGTGGGGGGCTCAACACATGGTAGAAAATGTTACTATTTCAGTAGCAGCATCCCTCAGCGTGAGGTCTGGCCTGTGAGGACTCCATGCAGCGTCCCATCTTCAGAGCAAGGTGGCCTCCAGTGAATGTGATCAAGGAAGGGAGTAGACCTGGCCTGGACTCCAGACCAGTCAGCGGAACCCTCAGGGCAGGACAGGGACTGCTACCAAGCCCGAAGCCTCACCTGCTCCTGCCACAGAGGCATATATATATACTCACGGGAAGGTAGACGCAGCAAAGCATAGAATGGAGACCAGGCCCAGGCCCACGCTGGCCTCATCCCAGCCATCCTGAGCACATTCACCAAACACATCCCAGATCCACTGGATGGAGCCGTTGGGACAGAGGGAAAAGTTGCTTGTGCCCAGCGTCCTCCAGACCATGGCTGCAGAGGGAGGGTCCCAGCAGAGAAGAAGGAGGAGGTGTGTGGACACAGTTCAGAGGCTGTCAAAGGCTCGTCCTACAAAAAGAGAAAGAGGTCTTCAGGGATGGGAGGTCTAGCCCTTTCCATGATCCTGTGATGTCAACTGGCCCTGTCCTCTACACAGTGAGGATAATGTCAGGCCCTACTTCATATAGCTGCTGTGAGTTAAATGCGTTCATATGCAGAGGGGGCGGGCCTGTATGCCAACAGCAGCTTTGGATACAACTTGTGAACATGTAGGGTTTTTTTCTGTTTTAGAGGTCAGATCCAGAGCCCTGCATGTGTTGGACAAGATGTCAACAACTGTCTTGCGTCCTCAGCATTTTTTTTTTTTTTAACTTTGTATCTCAAGAGGGTCTCACAAATTGCCCAAGCTGGCTTTAAACCTTCAACCCTCCTGCTTCACACATCTGAGTGCTGGGATTACAGGTCTGAACCACCAGGCCAGGCTTCCATTCCTGTGTCATTTCTATACTCTGACAAGGTCTCTGAGGCCAGGCCTCACTGGAGGGAAGACTACCCTTGGCATCTTTCGTGTACGAATGAGAAGGTGGTTCCTAGGGTTGCCCAGGTACCCAGACAGGATGCTGGGGCCCATGTTCCTCACAAAGCCTGAAAGACATACATGACACCTACCTGCAAGGAAGCCACAACCCACACCAGAGTATGGCTGGTGGAAGGATCAGGAAGAAAGGAGTCCTCCTAGTTCCTTGTACCTGCACAGAGTAGGACACTGTCACTCGTGCATGACAACCTAGAGAGGGAGGGAGAGCCACCTCCTCCAGTCCCTGGCATGCGTTCACACATTCTGTCCTCGGCCTGACTCAATGGCACACTATTGGCATATTCTGGAGGAACCTGAGACCACAGTAGGGAAGTCATCTGCCAGGGCCACCCAGCCAGAAAGCGAAAGAGTCAAACCCCCAAGCGTGAGGCTTCATTGGAGGCTGCCATGGCTTCCCATTTGTCACTGTGCTAAGAGGGTGCTTCCTCATCCAGATGGACTCACTCCTGGACTTTCTTAGTTCCCACTTAGGCCAGGGAGGCCTGACCGCCTCACAAAGCTCAGGCTGGACCCAGGATTGCTGAGCTTGCGATGATCAGGCTAGGGAGAGGAAGCAAGGCAGCTCCTTTTCTCAGGAGGCCCAGACTCTCAGGAGACCTAATGTGACCAGCTACTAGAGTTGGGGGTAAGGGTGCCCCAGGTTACTGTGTGGCTAGCTTATCGGGGTAGCTCCAGTATGGGGCAGAGAATGAATGGAAGGCTCTTCCCTGGTCTCCGTGGCTGGTGCAGATGGTATCAGCATAGCCAATTTTGAGAGCAATTACCTGACACCTTAATTCACACACAGTCCAGGTAAGAGCTGTGCCTAAGAAGCCCTCTTGTTTATCAGCCACACACATCCTACTGGCCTCCCCTGCTCCATGCTCCCATGTAGGTTCTGAATAGGTCTCTACAATTCACACATCCATACACTGTCATCCCTCAGGCCGGTTAGGGAACACTGTCCCCATTTTAAAGGTAGGGTTGAGTGGCTTTGGGCAAGTGAGTCAGCCTGTCTGAGTCTGTCTATGAACCAGGGCTAATATCGTTCTGAGCTAAACATACCTCTGAGCCCCACATCTGACCCATATTAGTGATGTTTTAAAGATGAGAAGGCAGTATCTTGACCACTGTGGAGCCTCTCATTCCCTCTCACCAGGCTAGGCAGGAAATGAAGTAAGAAGCTTACACTGTGGGTGTAAGCAGCTCTCCCAGCTTCTTTGAAGACTCTTTTCTTGATACCAAAGTTTGAGCCTAGGACCTCATACATGCTAGTCACGTGCTCTACCACTGGGCTACATCCCTCAGTCTGAAGGATCCTGACTCTCATGGTTCATTTCCAGAAAGGCTGGCTGGGAGACAGATCTCTTGAAATACCCCACTCCTCGCCAACTCCAAGCAAAGCCAGGGAAGTGCTTCCCACCAAAGCAGATACAGGTTCCATTTTGATACTGGATCAAATTTGAATTCACAGAGACAGGGTCCCAAGCACCCACAAGAACTGTTATCCTAACTTCATTTCCTAGCCCAGGTCCTCAGAGTCCCAGGCACCTGCACAGGCTGTTTCTTCCTCTAAGGAATCCTTCTCCACCACAAATGCCTGGTAGAGATACCATGACCCATTTCTAAACTGTCTTCTCCAAGAGGCAGTTGCAGTGACCTCCTCTTGTCCCCTGGAACACACTTCTGGAGAAGACGCATCCCTATCCTTGTTAAACATTGCTCTTCAAACAAGAAGTCTCTCTCCTTCTCCTGTTTGTGTATCTCCTATCCTCGTGGTCTGGATCTATTATCTGCACAACAAAGGCTCAGAAATGCAAAGGAAAGGGGAGGTAGCATGATAAAGAGGAGAAAAAGGGAGGAAAGAAAAAGACATGAGAAGGAAAGAGGGGAGGAGGAGAAGGGAAGGGAGGAAACTTGTGAATTTCGGGTGGGGGGAGGCTAGGACTGAGAAGTCCCTCTGAGCAAGTGATGGAGCTTCAGCGTTCTGATGCATATAATAAAGGGAATCATGAAAGGTACTTACCTCCTAGACTGACTGCACACTTCAATAAAACCCAGTCCAAGCCATGATAATGGCGTGAGCCTAGGAACTCATACATGTCGGTCAAGTGCCCTACCACTGAGCTACAATCCCCCAGTATTAGGAAGGACTCTGGCTTTCATGGTTCATGTCCAGAAAGGCTAGCCAGGAGACAGTATCTCCCACCACACCCACCTCCTCCAACTCCAAGCAAAGCCAGAAAGATGCTTCCCACCGAAGCACATTTGACACAGTCAACAGTAACATTCTGTTCTTGCTGTAGTCCCCTGGGTCACATAGTAGCACACAGTATACACTAACTGAACAAGATCTGAGACTATAGCAGCCCTCACACTTCTAACCAACCCTCCTTGAAATCCTGCCGAGAGAGGGGGCATTCTGGACTCCCTACCTGCAGACCTGGGGAGAATGTGTCAGGAGATCCCGCATTGGCTCCGGGATCCTACCCACTCTAGGCCTCCAAACCAAGGCTCTAACTCCTTCCGGTGACTCTGCCGGTTCCGAGGGATAATGACAGGGCAGCCGCTGGGGCAAGCGCCGCAAGGCCCCCGCCCAGTCTGGGGAAAACAAGGCAATCAGAAGCCAAGAGACCGGAAGGCGGGGACCGGCAGGTGAGACGTGGAGCCAGACCCGAACTCGGATCCCAGGCCAGACCGGGTATCCCGCGCCCCCAAAGGGGACCGGCGCCAGGGGCTGTGCGGGGCTGGGGGATGGTGTAGGGAAGAATTGACAGGGCCCACCTGGAGTCCCGACCCCGAGCCAGGCTGCCGCCAGCCCCCTGCAGTCTCACCAAATGAGGATCCACAACCGGACTCAGCTTCAAGGTCCGTAGCCCGCCTGGGTCAGCTGATCTCCGCGACGCCCCGCCCCGCCGCGCGCTGTGGGCGGAGCCCCAGGCGCCCGGGCGCGCAGGCGCAGTCTCCATGCTGCGCGCGGCGTCTCGAGCCGTGGGCCGCGCTGCGGTTCGCTGTGCGCGTCGCTCCGGGCCTTCCGTAGCGCGTCCTCTCGCCATGTCCCGGCCTCCGGCACCCGGCGCCACCTCGGGCGCCCCTCTCCGGCCCGCCACGGTTCTGGGCACCATGGAGATGGGGCGCCGCATGGATGCGAGCGCCAGTGCCGCGACCGTCCGCGCCTTCATGGAGCGCGGCCACAGCGAACTGGACACGGCCTTCATGTACTGTGACGGCCAGTCCGAGAGCATTCTGGGCGGCCTGGGGCTTGGGCTGGGCAGCGGCGACTGCACAGGTAACCGCCACACCTGCCCCCCACTCCCTGCACCGAGTAGAGCTGAGCTGGTACCCGCATCCGGAGTGCACCGCCCAGGGTCTGCACCCGGGAGCTTCGTAAGCTCCCATACCCACAGCTGTGTGGACCCCAAGCTCCTAAGGCACCGGTAGTCCTGAACTACTGAACTGAGCTTTGTCCCGCCTCTCCTTTGAAGCTTCTGGAGTTGCAGGGGCCGGTGCTGGGAAGCTCCCCCAGTGTGACCTCGAGCCTGTTCTGGCCCCTTGCTTCCTACCTCAACCCCTGCTTCCCAACTCTCTATTTGCTCTTAGCCGCCCCCTCCCCCCAACCAGGCTTTGTGCTTATGCCCTTCTCTCTTACCCTCACCAGCCCTAAGCTCCAGGAGCATGTTTCTCTTTCCGGTCTTTGGTCATCTCCTAGACTTTGTCCTATGCAGCTGACAGTGTCTGTGCGTCTCAAGGAGATCTGTGGCAATGCCAAGGGCCCTAGGGGGCGGGGGTCGAAGGTAGCGTGGGGAGAGGGCACTTCCAGCCTTTCTATCCACGCTGTGCCCGGTCTTGCAGCGGGGGCTGCTACAGTGGGGAGTGACTAACCCACAGAGGGAGTTCCAATCCCTCGTGGAAGACTGAGGCCGTGATTGCTGGGGAGCACAGATGGGAGTAGCTTGTGGAGGCCCCGGGGAGAGCAGTAAGCAAAGCTCATAGAGCACTGAGGCTAGACCTTAACAGTGTAAGTAGCACTGTGCTGGGTAGAGAACAAGAGAAAGGGGGCACTGGAGGCTGAAGGCTTAGCTGTTCCATGATGGAGCTTGAGAGTGCAAAGTACATGTATGGGGCAGGATGGTCAGTAGCATGTGTCCCTTGATGGAAGATGAGGGGAACCGTCCCTCATTTGCTTGAAACCATTGGAGGTCTTAGGAGTGTGCCTGATATATAGGGAGGTCTCTTCTTTGCCTTCCCGAGACTCCTCCTCCCAGTTCCTGTGCAGTGGTCCTCCCCAAGGCCCCTTAGACTCACCATGGTAGAACTGGAGGGGCATAAGTAAGCCGATCTCTCAAGCCCAACACTGCAGAGTTTACCTGGCCGATTTGTTTATAATGATTTTCTCTTTCTTTCTTTCTTTCTTTCTTTCTTTCTTTCTTTCTTTCTTTCTTTCTTTCTTTCTTTCTTTCTCTCTCCCCCTCTCCCCCTCTCCCCCTCTCCCTCTCTCCCTCTCTCCCCCTCCCTCCCTCGCCCCCCTTTCTCTTTCTTTTTGGTTTTGAGAAACAGGGTTTCTCTGTCTCTGTGTAGTCCTGGCTGTCCTGGAACCCCCTCTTGACTCACTAGAGGCCAAAGTCCTCAGGTCATTCCTGTGGCAGAAGTTCACATGAGAAGGCCTGGGGGGTGGGTGTTGTAGCCAGGAGATGCTGTGGTCTTCTCTATCCTGTGGGTAGATCAGAGGCCTCCCCTTTGTCTTGCTGAGTCCACATAAGCAAGTATCAGTGCACAGAATCCATCTGTCCATCATCAGGCCAGGTAGTTGGGGTTCCCTCTCTGGGAAGAAACAGTGCTGAGTTGGTGACTGGGGAGCATCTGCAGTGGATTGGAGGTACAGGCTTCTGGGGGGCTGAAAGATTGATTGCTGCCAAGGAACATATTCAGGTCCCTGTATCTCTTCCCTAATTGGGGCGGGGGCGGGGGTTGTTTTGTTTTATTTTGATTTTTCGAGACAGGGTTTAGCTTTGGCTGTTCCAGAACTTACTTTGTAGACCAGGCTGGCCTCGAACTCAGAGATTCACCTACCTCTGCCTCCAGGGATTAAAGGCATGTACCACCACTAACTGACTTTTTTATATTTTTTTATACTTCGTTAATTTATTTGTATTTGTGCTTTGCCTGCTTGTATATGCGCCCACAGAGGCGAGAAGAGAAGGTTGGGTACCCTGGAACTGTAATTACAGATGATTGTGAGACTGTCATGTGCGATTTTGGGAATCGGACCTGAGTCCTCTGCAAGAACAATAAATGCTCTAAACCACCGAGCCATCTCTTCAGCCTCCGTTGCATAAATTCTTACATAGTACTTAGTGGTCTCCCTGCTTTCAGGCCTGTCTCGCTGAGTTCCTTCTCTATTTTATGGCTAGAGGGAGCGAAATGATGGGCTCATCATCCTGACAAAACTTGGAACATCAAGTCTAAAGATGGCATGGTGTTTGAGCACCTTTGGAGTGGAGTCTGCACTCTTCTCATGTCTCAAATCCTATACCCCCCTGCCCTGCGATATATATAGTCTTAACATTCAAAATGCAGCCTTGTGTGGCAGGCACCTTTATCCACTGAGACAGCTTACCAGCCAACTTTTAATTTCTATTCAGGTCCTTTGCTCACTGAAAAAAAATTAAATCTTTTAAAGATTTTTTTTTTTTTTTTGGTTTTGGAGACAGGGTTTCTCTGTGTAGCTTTGCGCCTTTCCTGGAACTCACTTGGTAGCCCAGGCTCACAGAGATCCGCCTGGCTCTGCCTCCCAAGTGCTGGGATTAAAGGCGTGCGCCACCACCGCCTGGCCATGTTTTTTTTTTTTATTGTGGGTGTACAAATGTTTTGTCTGCATATATAGATGTGGGCCATATACCATACAGCCTGTGCCCAAAGAGAGTGTTGAACGCTCCGGAACTGAAGCGATGGATGGTTGTGAGCTGCCCTGTGGGTGCTGGGACTCGAACCTGGGTCCCCTGCAAGAGCAACAAGTGCTTTTAACTGCTGAGCCAGTTCTCCTGACCCTATTTTGTATCTTAATTAAAAATTATTTTTAAAGCTCTCTTAGTTCATAGAAAGCATGATTGTCTCCATATAAAATCAGAAGGATTTTAAGACTGTCTAGAATTTAAGATTTATTTACTTACATATTTCATATATATGAGTGTTCTATCTGCATGTATGTCTGCACGCCAGAAGAGGGCATCAGATTCCATTATAAATGGTTGTGAGCCATCAGGTGGTTGCTGGGATTGAATTTAGGACCTCTGGGGGAACAGCTGAGCCATCTTTCCAGGCCCCTACCTAGAATTTAAGAGGAAAAAAAAAAATGACTTAATCCCTGTGCCCTCCATGTGAGGACAATTCTATTGTCACTTTATTTACAGATTAGGAAATAGTGAACAAATTAAGTAATTTAGCCAGGAACATTTACATTTACATGGACAGTGGGTAATTCTAATAAGTCTTTTTGTTCTTGTTGTTTGGGTTTTGTTTTTTTGGGGACAGGATTTCACTGTGTAGCCCTGGCCTGTCCTAGAACTCTGTAGACCAGGCTGGCCTCACAGATCCTCACAGAGGATCACCTGGCTCTGCCTCCTGAGTGCTGGGATTAAGGACATGCACATGCTTGGCCTTTTAATACATTTCTTAATCATTATAATCTTCCTGCAAGTGAAAATTGCCACCAAGGCCAACCCTTGGGATGGGAAGTCACTGAAGCCTGACAGTGTCCGGTCCCAGCTGGAGACATCACTGAAGCGGCTACAGTGTCCCCGGGTGGACCTCTTCTATTTACACGCTCCTGACCACAGTACCCCAATAGAGGAGACGCTTCGTGCCTGTCACCAGCTGCAGCAGGAGGTGAGGGTGGCCCCTGAGCCCAGAGGGGTGGTCTTTATACCTCTCATCCTGACTCTGCTGTGACAGTGAGGCTTGCTGGGCACCCAGGGCAGAGCTGGGCACAGATGCCATTGCCACCCAGTCGGTTCTCCCTTCCTGGTTCCCTGGCCTGAGATGAGTCCTCTCCCCTGCAGGGCAAGTTTGTGGAGCTTGGCCTGTCCAACTATGCCTCCTGGGAGGTGGCTGAGATCTGTACCCTCTGCAAGAGCAATGGCTGGATCCTGCCAACCGTGTACCAGGTGAGGGGAACGTGGTGTGCTGGGGCTACCCAGACCTCAGAGCTCAGCTGATCCCAAGTCATCTTGTGCTTCAGACCCCTCCTTAGACCTCTCCAGAGTAGCCTCCTCAAAGCCTGTGGGTACCACCTAGTTTTTCACCAGCCTCACAATGGTACACCCGCTTTCTTACTGCCTGAGCACACACATCTTGATCCCTTCCTCCCATCCTGCATTGCAGCCTAGAACATACCTCCCCACATCCTAGAAGAAGTACTCACCTTTGACCTAGAAGGCCCTTTCCTGGGAATCCCCTCCCCACATGCCCTCAGGGCCTCCAGTCTCTGAAAGCCATCTTCATCCACTGAGCCACCTTGAGTACCTCCTTCATCTCAGAGCCCACCTTTACTGCATTTCTCCGTGGATTTTTGTTATTGTGTGTGTGTTTCCTTTGTGGTACTGGAGATTGAATCTAAGACCTGATACATGCTTATACACCTCAGCCTGCTGTCTATCTTTTTAATTTTATTATTGCATCTCTTGGAAGCAGAGAATTTGCTAAACTTTTGAGTAGTTGTGATTTCAGCATCCAGCCCATAAAGGAGGCCTAGAGATATCTCTAGATTGATAACCCAGGCCAGTTTCCCCTCCCTGTGCCCAGCACTCTGAACCCTACTCCATACTACAATCTCTAGAATTTAAGAAAAAAGTATTATTTAGTCCCCGTGCCCTCCAGGTGAGATTTGAAATAATTGAACCTGGGAAGGTTTAGA